TTTGCCTGGTTTGAAACACTGAATGTAACACATCCAGGTGCCTGTCATCACTTGCATGTATCCATGCCTGTTGCTCAAGGTTCTGGTGCAGTGGACTACAGCTGTGCGCCTGTAGCAAAAGAGACACCTGAGTGCCTGTGTTCCTGTACTATGGGGGTACCTTATTGCGTCCTACAGTTTTCGTGGTTTTTCGAACACTGAAAATGGCCTCGCGCTATAGTACAATTTTGGAATTGTTTGTCCACAAATCTTGAAACCTTCCAGACCCCCCGCTCCCCCCAAATTCAATGTTTACATAGAAGCGCCCAATGAGCATTGCGGCACACATTGCGGCACACATTGAAATTGAGGGGGCGGGGGGGAGGTTTCTGAATATGCAAACAAGAAGACTGTCAATGACTGACTGCTGCTGCACTCGATAAAAACCATAACTCCTTCATAAAGTCTCGTTATAGATCCTCCCCGAAGTCCTGCCTGATCTTTCCCTAAACCCTCGCATGGCCAAGGCCCCCGTAAACTTGTAGATAGACTACCCTACAATTTTTTGCACATGCCACCCCTCATGTTTTTCGTGTATGCTCCTCCAAACGCTTGCTTGCGGACCCTCCCCCAAATCCTGCCTTGCAGATCCTGCCCTAAACTCTGCAGATCCTTCCCTAAACCCCCCCTTTTGCATTCCAAACCCTGCCCCGCAGATCACTCCCCAATGCCTCCTGCAGCACAAATTCCTATTCTTCGTGCGCATTTCCAGTGTTTTGGTGGTCCTGCAGGCCTCCCAACCCTTAGCCCTCCAGATAATGCCGCCCAAGCCTCCACCTGGCATAGTGCCCGAATAGTGCCCGAATAGTGCCCGAAATAGTGCCCGAAATAGTGCCCGAATGAACCCTTCATAGTGCCCAAATACATTTCCTTTCGTAAAGGAAGGAAAATCTCCTTTTTCTTCGCGAAAAATCATTTGGGCACTATGAAGGGTTCATTCGGGCACTAGTTCGGGCACTATTTCGGGCACTATTCGGGCACTATTCGGGCACTATTTGAAGGCGTCTACTATTCATGCACCGCAGCCTTGCCAAGTCCCTCCCAACACTTCTCCAGGCCTGAAAACCTCCGTCCAGGGCTTCCCTACCCTGCCACACTTTCGACGAGCTTTACGAGCCCATTTTCGGGGCCCGGAAAACAACAAAAAACGTAGGACACATCAGAGTACCCCCACAGTTACAGTGGCAAACAACGGTGCTTAAGCAGCACAAGCCCAATCACCAGGGTAGCAACGGAGCGTTTTGATTGATTTCAACAGACGCGGTCGCTCGCGACACTGGTCGCCGCATGTCGGGCAAAACTTTGGTAAAGCTTCAAACACGTCTCCCTCGCAGAATTCCGCAGTTTTTGAGCTCGGGTTGGTCCCCATTTTGAGGCCAAAAATTGGTTCCCAAAGCTGAGACCGCCTGATTGGAAACTATTAGGGGAGACCCCATTTTGGGCTTCGTTTTTGGAGCTCGAAAATGGGCTCTAGAATGGATCGAAAACCTTTGGACAAAGACGCTCCCAATTGGATTGGAACTTTGCTCGAAAAACAACCTTGTAGCTATGCGCGGGGTCTGTGCGTGGTCAGCTTGAGACTGTTGACCATGATGTCATGACAACTACTTGTCATAAATACCACAGCATGGCAAGCAAGGCGGCAACTGACTATGGGGGTACCTTAATGCGTCCTACAGTTTTCGTGGTTTTTCGAACACTGAAAATGGCCTCGCGCGATAGTACAATTTTGGAATTGTTTGTCCACAAATCTTGAAACCTTCCAGACCCCCCGCTCCCCCCAAATTCAATGTTTACATAGAAGCGCCCAATGAGCATTGCGGCACACATTGCGGCACACATTGAAATTGAGGGGGCGGGGGGGAGGTTTCTGAATATGCAAACAAGAAGACTGTCAATGACTGACTGCTGCTGCACTCGATAAAAACCATAACTCCTTCATAAAGTCTCGTTATAGATCCTCCCCGAAGTCCTGCCTGATCTTTCCCTAAACCCTCGCATGGCCAAGGCCCCCGTAAACTTCTAGATAGACTACCCTACAATTTTTTGCACATGCCACCCCTCATGTTTTTCGTGTATGCTCCTCCAAACGCTTGCTTGCGGACCCTCCCCCAAATCCTGCCTTGCAGATCCTGCCCTAAACTCTGCAGATCCTTCCCTAAACCCCCCCTTTTGCATTCCAAACCCTGCCCCGCAGATCACTCCCCAATGCCTCCTGCAGCACAAATTCCTATTCTTCGTGCGCATTTCCAGTGTTTTGGTGGTCCTGCAGGCCTCCCAACCCTTAGCCCTCCAGATAATGCCGCCCAAGCCTCCACCTGGCATAGTGCCCGAATAGTGCCCGAATAGTGCCCGAAATAGTGCCCGAAATACTGCCCGAATGAACCCTTCATAGTGCCCAAATACATTTCCTTTCGTAAAGGAAGGAAAATCTCCTTTTTCTTCGCGAAAAATCATTTGGGCACTATGAAGAGTTCATTCGGGCACTAGTTCGGGCACTATTTCGGGCACTATTCGGGCACTATTTGAAGGCGTCTACTATTCATGCACCGCAGCCTTGCCAAGTCCCTCCCAACACTTCTCCAGGCCTGAAAACCTCCGTCCAGGGCTTCCCTACCCTGCCACACTTTCGACGAGCTTTTACGAGCCCGTTTTCGGGGCCCGGAAAACAACAAAAAACGTAGGACACATCAGAGTACCCCCACAGTACGCCTAGCAAGGGGATAGACGTCCAGGTTACATCTCATCGGGAGGGGGGGAGGGGGGAGGCGGGGGAGGCGCAAAAAAACTAAGAACCAACCCTGAACCAAGAACCTAAACCAACATACGGCCACCCTACCCCCCATCCATGCGCCACCCTCCCCTCCCACTTCCCCACCCCCCCCCCCCCGCCAGCCCTTCCAGCACCTCCCCCCACCCAAACTCACCCCCCCACAACCCCACACCCCACACCCACCCTCCACATCCACCCCCCACATCCACGCCCCACACCAACCCCAAACCCTCCACACCACCTCCACACCTCCCACCCCCACACCCACCCTCCACACCCACAGTCCACACCCTCTCCCCAAAAAAACGGCGAGCGCAGCCGCGTGACAGGTTCAGTAAGCTGCTCCAGAGGAAAGTGGAGCCGGCGCGCCAGCCCGGGCCAACGAACGCCAGGGCTGCATAGCTGCGACGGCCTGCCAAGAACGTTGCGACATAAGAAGCCCACGCGAGGAGAGGCACGAAGTCGATTTGCAAGATGGTAACTTGCACCTGGAATCCGAGTCGAACGATCATCTGAAAGCTCGTCTGCTCTGATTCGCCTGAAAGTGCATTGCGCCAGAGAGGCAGAGACACTTTCCGTCATGGTAGGTGCTCAGTTCGATGGGAAGGCACCAGAGACCGGAAGCACTCTTCCGAGTGCGCTGGAGTGCCTCGACGACAGTTCTTGGGCCCCAGGTTGGCCCAACACCACAAGTCTTCGCTGCGCCACTCGTACGCGAGCCAGCAGCTCCTCCGTCACCAACAGTCTTGTGAGTAGACGCGCCGCCATTCCTGCGCGTTCTGGCCAATTCGGGTTTGCGGCGGCAGTTTTTGGAAACGCCTTTTCCTGCAGAGTTGCAACTCAGTTACAAGTGCTGAATAAGCCACCAACTTGGATTGCAAGTACGTTAACTGATTTACAAGTTTTGCTAAACTTAAGTTAGCAAAACACATAGAAATTTAGAAGTTGAGAAGTTAGCGGGCAGTTGGGTAGAGCAGTAAAAAAAGTTAGGAAAAAGTTAGCATACTTAGCGTTTTTATAAAATTTTGCTGTTTGCTGCACGACCATGGGTTTTTAGGTTTCGATATAAGTTTCGGTTTTGTGAAAAGTTGTGCCTCTGAGCCTGTTGAGTGGTGGAGCCGCTCAGTGCTGGGCTGCGATATGTATATCATCAGGCTGCTGACTGCAGTTTGGAGTGCAAGCCAATTTTCCTGCAATTCCTGGAATTTTCTGAGGTGCAATGGTTGTCTGGATATATTCTGCATGGTTTTGTTTTGCAGAGGTTTTCTCAAAGCACTGGAAGATTTTCACTGGAAGCTGCGGTTTTCATGGCATGGAACCTTGGTTTTCAGCTGCGAGAACAGTTTTCGACATGTGGCATGAGTTGCTTGAGCTTTTGAGTGAGATGAGTGAATGCTGTGAGCCGTTAGTCCGCATGAGTTCTCGAACCTCAAGGTGCCTTCTCGAACAGCTGTAGTGTATGCGAGTTTGTTTGCCAGCGTGGAGCTTGTAAAGAAGCTGTGACGGTATGCTTTTGAAGCGAAGTTTTGTTTTGACATGTGCTGAAGCACATGTGAATCCGGAGTGCCGCGCTTATGTGTGGCTCAAGGCTGGAAAGCTTTGAGACTGAAGCTCGTTGAAAGAATGGGCCGATGATGAAACACGTTCTGAGGCTCATTAAAGCAAAGCTGCAAAGCTTTTGGTGACAGCAGTGCAGTGCAAGAACAGCTGAACACTTCGTTTGTTGCGCGAGCAAAAGTCTGTGCAGACCTTGACGGGTTGTTCAGGGTTTGTAAGTTTTACATGGTAGCGGAGCACTGTTTGTGCTCCCACACCATTTCCGCCGACCCAAAGAAGGTGTTATGTCTCAAAGGCCTTAGGTCCAAGTGCTGAGGCGCCAGCTCCGTGTAGTCCAGGTCTTGCTGAGGCTGGAGGGGAGTATGGGTGTGGTACAGCTGGGTGTGGGCAACAGGAAAGGAGGCAAACAGGTGTGGAAGGTGTGAGTGGTGTTGGGTCAAGCGATCCGTGGTTTACAGGTGTTCAGAGAGATCCCTGGGCGTTGTGTGCTGGCATTAGGCCAGTGGCGCCAGCTCCAGGTTTGTCAGTGCCTTCAGGTCCTGCGAGGAATTTTTCGACAGTTCCGAATCAAGGATGTTGCAGTCAGGTTTCTGGAGATAATGTGAGTGCAGGGAGACATCTGCTTGATCGCATGAGTTCGCGTGAGTTGCAGTCCCTGTATGCAGATCTTAGCCAAAGACTGAATGTCCCTGTGAGTGGGCAGTTTGTTCCTGAGAGATTGGGGCAGTCGCCACCTGATTTGAATGTGCCAGCTTTCGTGAGACATCAAGGTAACACGTTACCTGGTGTTCCAGCTGAAAATGCGAGGAGCAGTGAAGACAAAGACGTCTTTAGTCGCAGTGAGAAGTGGCTAGGGTCTCCACCTACGCCAAATCATCAAGCGTGGAAAGGGCGTGAATCTGAAGTGCTGGGCATGAATGCCTATATTCACGAGTTGGTTGCATGGGCGAACCAAGCAAGTGTTGAGTTTGGGAAGGAGATCGCTCAGGCCGCGCGATGGCCTACACAGATTGCATGGAACACGTTGTCTAAGAGTCAACAAGCGCGAGGAGTTCGTTTGTTTAGTGTGCTGAAGGCAGCGTTTGCAGATCATGGGCGGATAACTCTTATGATCCAAAGTTTTGGAGAAGGGCTTGACATTGTTGCAGTCGCCATGCAGGGAGATGTTTTTGGAAACTCTCTTTCGTATATGGGTAATGGTTTTGAGTTGCTGAGGCAGCTTGCCAAGGAGTTTTCTCTGAGAAGCCGTGCTGAGGCTATGAGTCTCAGGGCGATGCTGATGGCAAGAACGTTTCGAGCGCAGGACTCGTCAGCTCCAGTTGCTGACACAGTGCGTCAGATTGAGGTGGCAGTGGCAAGGTTTGTGCGTTTACTTTCGACGCTAGATCCTAGAGATGCTGCTGGGTTTCCTTTGACTGACAGTGATCAGCTTACGCTTTTGATGAGGTCTTTGCCTGAGAGCGCGAAAGCGTATACGTTACATCATTCGCAAGGTGAGACATATGCCTCATATCGATCTTCAGCTTTGCGATGGGAACATCAGCAGCGTTTGTTTCTTGAGTTGCAAGGGGCCAAAGGTTTGTTTGGCTTGCATGAAACCGAGTTTTCTGAGAGCGCAGGTTCGCCTGAGGCAGGTGAGGGAATGGATGGTCACGTCTTTGGCATGAGTGCTAGGCCTTCTGATGCTGGGAGCGGTGTGAAGTGCAACCGTTGTGGCAAGAAGGGGCATCAAGTGAATCAGTGCACGGCAGACCTTTCCAAGGTTAAGTGCTTCAAGTGCGGAGAGATGGGCCACATATCTTTGAACTGTGCCAAGGGCAAGCAGGGTGATGTTTCTCAGTCAAGTGCGAGGCCTAAGGGTTCTGATGGCAAAGGTGCTGCTGCGGCCAAGGGTCAAGTTTCTTTTTCGCCTAAAGGCAAGAGCAAAGGAAAAGGAGGAAAGAAAGGAAAAATGTTTGCTCTGTTTGATGAGGAAACGGGGGTTTGGTGGTACACAGATGCTGATGAATCTTTTTACACCGAGGAAGGTGATGAGCAAGAAGCACAGCAGGTGGACTCCACTCTTGTGTTATCTTGTGTCATTGAGTTAACTGATGAGCCCAATACGCGTTTTGAAGCTGTCCTTGAAGACAGCGAGTCGGTGTCTGTTGTGCTCCAAGAGCAGTTGTGTCAACCATTGTTGCAGTCGTTGGGTCAATCGCTTGGAACTGAGTTTTGGCTGCTTGACTCAGGTGCGTCATGCTGTGTTATCAACCACGTGACTTTGAAGACGCTTCCGCATGATGAGTTGACTGCATGTGGTTCGACGTTTATGGCTGCGAATGGGACTCCTGTTCCCTTTGATGGTCGTTGCCATGTTGTGCTAAAGGTTCGAACAAAGGATTCAAGTGGAGCTACCAAGAATGGTGTCTGTAAGATCCCTGTGATGGTGGGTGACACTCCTTACAATATCCTGTCAACGCGAACTCTTGGAAGGCATGGCTGGCGTGTTGTCTTGGATGAAGGCGTTTCTGTGTGTCATGTGAAGTCGGGTGTTGATATGATTGATACCTGTATTTGGTGTGACACGCCTTGGATCCGCGTGATTCCTCATTCAGAAGGTGATCTCTTGTTGCCGTCGGGTGACTCAGTTGATCCTGCTCCAATTTCCTCGATTGGACATGTTGCAGTTGTTTCGCAGAAGACCAAGGAAGATCTTGAAATTCACAGAGCAAAGGGCCACATGCCCTTCCATCCCGATTGCGAACATTGTCTGAAGTCCCGAGGTGTTACCCAACACAGGCGAAAGTCTGAGCGCGGAGTTGAAACAGAGATTGTTGCAGATTTTACGTTTCTGGACTCTTCTGGAGAGATGATCAGCGTGGCTGAGCGCCAGACAAGTAGCTCTTTCAAGGTCCTCGTCCTTCGTGAGGCCTTTTCTTCTTCTATTGGGGCTGTGATGATAACTGAGAACATTGCAAAAGACAGAGGTCTTCTTTTGAAGTGGCTTGCTGAGTTTGGGATGTCGTCCTCACAAGCAAGCATTGTGCTTTTGACAGATTCCGAAGAAGCGGTGAAGTCGTTTGTTGCAGGTGCGTCGGATAAGTACATTTTTATGGTGCGCAAGGCTGCGCCACAGGCTCATGAACAGCTTGGTGGTGCGGAAAGGACAGTCCGGGTCCTTAAAGAAGGGCTAGCTACCTTGCAAAGTGATTTTCAGTCGCTTGGTTGCGTTTTGTCGTTTCGGAGAGACTTGCTGCAGCTTGCACTTTCTTACCTGTGCATGAGTGTGAATGCGAATGGCAAAGCTTTTGGCGGTGAACGCTCTCCAAAGGAGGTTGCAGTTGGTCGAAGGTTGCCAGATACCCCTTTTGCGTTGTTTGGGTCCAAGGTGCTTGCTGAGGTGCCCGAATATGTCGCGTTTTGAGGCGGCAGCGTTTCTTCATCCGCAATTTGGGTCGCTTGGGAGCTTGGTGTATGCACATGTGCGTGTGGGCCAGGTCTTGACGCCAAAGGTGTTTGTTGCCAAGTCGATCAAGCTTGTGTTTCCGATTGAGCTTGTCTTCGAGTCGGGGATGTTTGAAGTTTTGCGTCGTCGTGGTGAGCTTGGGCCTGAGAGGCCAGATCATCCAGTTGCGCCTCGGATTCTTCCGAGTTCCCAGGGTGCCTCTTTGAAGTGTCCTGTTTCCGGTCCGCCAAAGGAGTTTTTTGAGAGGTATGGGTTCTCAGGTGAGTGCCGAGCGTGTTCCAACATGGCACAATTTGGGTCTAGGAAGGGCTCTTCTCACGGTCGGGCTTGCTGTTTGAGATATGAAGCGTGGTTGCGGTCGCAAGTTGCAACAGATGACAGCATGGACGTTGAAGTGCCTGTGGCTTCGGATGCAGAGGCTATGCGTGAAGCTCTTTCTGAGCTAGCCGAGGATGAGTCGAGGCAAGACCGAGCTGTGGAGGAGGCTCAGGGTTCTCCTTTGCCTCCCCCGGCCAGTGGGGACGCTGCTTCGTCTGAGGCTCCAGCGAGGATTGTGAGCGAGGCGGCCCCTAGTGGTCGTGTTTTCACGCGTGGTTGTCCTGCGTGCGAGTCTGGCATGAATGCTCCTGGCATTCGTCACAATGCTGATTGCAAGCGAAGGAACCAACATCTGAGTGTTAGATTTTCTGTTTCTGGGGAGCCCGATGATGACGAAGCTTCATCCAGGCGTCTGCCTGAAAATCTTGAAGGAGCTGCTGCTCCTGAGTCTGAGGGCATTGGGGCTCTTGATGAGGACACTGAGATGCCGTTTGCCGATCCAGTGTTGACTGGAAGTGAAGGCGGAGGCAGCCTAGAGGCTGAAGAAGTGCTTCGTGGAAGCAGTGCTGTGAAACGCTCCTCTGAAGTCCCGTTGGAAGATCTGGAGCGTGAGATCAGGCAGGACCAAGAAAGGGTTGCTTCAGTTATGGTTACCTTCCACAATTGCGAAACAGGGAATGATGTTCACATGCCTCTTGCGAGTTTTGTTGAGCAGGCGTTCCAGGTTTCCAATTATGTCCCTTTGCTTTCAGGGCTTGTGGATTCGGTTCAGTTCGCCCCGAACTCTACGAGTGTTGTTTTGCCGTTTGGGAAAAGGTCGCATTTGAGACTTTGGAAGCCTAGTTCCGCTGTTGATGACTCTACCTTGGGTGAGCTTTCAGGAGATCAGGTCATGGAAGGCATGGTCAAAGAAGTCAACAATTTGAGTCACATGGAAACTGGGGATCTGTTGACTGCTTCAGAACTTCAGAGTCTTGAGAAGAGGTTCCCAGGTACCTTGAAGGTCATCCCTAGTCGTTGGGTCACGACGCAGAAAACACCAACTACTGTGCGAGCTAGGATTGTCATCAAGGATATTGCTGGCAAGAACTCAGAGTCTGCAAGGGCTTTGGGCATTTCAAGTCCTACTCCTAGTGCCGATGCTTTGTTCACGGTTCTTGGGGTTGCAGGTTGCAGAGATTGCGTGATTGCGAGCGCTGATGTATCTCACGCTTTCATGGCTACGCCTTTGAGGGAAAGGGATGTGGTTATGAGGTTTCCTCTGTCAGTGTCTTCGGTTTCGGGGGATCCTTTGTATCTTCACCTCAACAAAGCCCTCAATGGGCTACGCAAGGCTTCGCAAGAATGGATTTACTTCGTAGGGGAGACTGTGAAGGTTTTGGGGCTTCAAAGTTGCAGCTTAGAGCCGTGTCTGTTTTCAGGCATGCTTGAGTCAGGTCCCTGTTTGCTGTTGGTCTATGTGGATGATTTTCTGTGCATTGCGCCAACAAAGGAGGATGTAGATCACATCTTTGGAGTGATTGAGGAGAAAGTTGAACTCAAGAGAACTGGGTTGATCAATTCTTCCAAGGATGGCGGTGGCACTTTGCGGTTCATTGGTAGGGTTATCTCCAGGAGAAAGGGGGAGTCCTCTATCACAGTGTCTTTGCCAGAAGATTATTTGGATGAGACCTTCAAGGCTTATGGTCTTTCGGGAAAAGGTTCCTCAAGTCCCCCAGATGTAGCGGTTCATGTTGAGAAGCTCGATGGGGTTCCATTGTCTCCTGAGGCGTATGCCAGGTTCAGGTCTGCGTTGGGGAAAGTAGCTTGGATGACGCAGACTCGTCAGGACTTGCGTGCTTATGTGTCAATCTTGGCAACGCAGCAAGCCACACCCACGAATCATACTGAGCATGGTCTCCGAGCCTTGCTTCGATTTCTGAAGAACGACATGTGCGTGGTTGTGCGGTTGCCTGCTGCGAGTGATGTGTTGGCTCCCTCGCAACACTACCAAGGAAAGAGGCACCTTGTGTGTTTCTCTGACGCATCGCATGCGCCTTTGAGGTGCACGAAGCGCCGTGGAATCAGTGGAGGAGTGTTGACACTTGATGGCTGCGTGATAAAGACTTTGTGTCGTCACCAACAGCTTGTGTCGCTGTCGTCTATGGAGTCAGAGCTGTTTGCGTTGCAGTCGGTTGCTCAAGAAATGTCGAGTCTTGGAAAGTTCATGGCAAGGGTCTTCATGTCGTTTCGAGAAAGCGAGGAAGTTGAATTGCCTGGGATACTTTACAGTGACTCAGAAAGCGCTTTGAAGCTTCTTCGCAATTTGGACACACCCAGGCAAAGCAGACATCTTGAGATAAGAGTCGAGTGGCTTAAAGCTCGTGTCGCAGCGGGTTCTTTGGTCCTTGCGTTTAAGAAGGGAATCGAAAATCCGTCAGACCTCTTGACTAAATGTTTGGGGTCCTCGGCTTTCGGGATACATCGCGAAGCGTTGGGCTTTGAGTCGCTGTCGGGACCACTTGCGTCTTTGTGCAATCATGAGAAGAGATTGGTGATGGTTGAAGTGTGCTGTCGACCGCAGTCGAGTGTTCAAGGTGCATGTCGCAGAGTCGGGATGAGTTACGTTGGCGTGACTGAGAACATGCAGAGTGACAGCGTGTTCAAAGAGGTGCGTCGATATCTTCTGAACTTTGCGTGTGACTGCGTGTTTGTGCATGTGTCCACGCCTTGCTCTTCTGGATCTTACTTGCGTCGGTTCTCTGGCGGGAGCTCGTCGAAGTCGGATTGGGAATGGTTTGAGGTGTTTCCTTGTGTGTTGAAGTACTTGAAGCTTGGGAAGCACTCGAGCTTTGAGCTGCCATGGAACAATGAGATTTGGCAACATGACTTGTGCCAGAAGGTGCTGAAGAAGGCAGGCCACACGTTCGATGTGCCGGTGAGGTTGTGCATGACTGGTCTTTGTTCGAAAGGGGGTGAGCCTATAGGCAAAGTCTTGGGTTTTACTTCGACTTCTGAAAAGTTTGTGTCTGCCCTGAAGTGTTTTTCCAGCTGCAGGTGTGCTAAGCATGCAAATCTGTGGCAGGTTGGGTGGACCGAAACAGGTTTTTACACTCCGAAACTCGCTGATGCGATTGTTCGAGGTGCGATCAAAACGTTGCAGTGATGCTTTTTTGGGGGTTTGGGCCGGGCTGTTGGCTGGGTTCGGATTCTCCTCTTGACGCCGGTTTCTTTGCGGACGTTGAGGTCTGCAGACAAAGCTCCGTACTGGTGCTAGTTGTTTTTGCGTGTGAAACCTAGGTGCGAACTCGTGCTGCCATGGTTCTCACGACCGATGAGCGCAGGGAGCTGCGCCGTTTGCTGGATAAGATGGATTCTGCAGATGGCTTGGCTTCGACTGCCAATACTTCTATGACCGATGGGACCAAGCGTCTCAGAGATGTGGGTGGATATCCAGAGGATGGGTCTACTGCATCAGGTTCTGCTTGCGGTGCCCAGCTGCCGATTTCAAAGGGAAGCGCAAAGGGTGTCGTGAGCACGCCCAAGTGTTATGAAGACCTCGTCGATGCCTTCGAGGGGGAAGAGTTTGGGGAGAGTGACAATGTGATTGTCGTGAGCTATGCGGGTACTGAGGTCACCTCGGTGCCACTTCCGAGTGATCTCTCCGTGGAGGATTGGGGTCGAACAATCTGCGATCTGCCAAAGGTCCAGAAGAATAAGACTTGGTTTAAGAAGTCCTATGCGGCCTTGGTCAAGCTATCCAAGGAGGATAGCGACCTTGCAAGCTATCTCAATTGGGTCAAGGAGAAATTTGGTCGCAGTTACGATCCGACGACCCCATCCAGTCAAGCCTCGGACCTTGCGGGGTATTTGATGAGGATTGGTTTTTCAAAGCAGAAGGGATTCCAGCGCAAACTGGCGGAGGAGTGAAATCCTTGCTGGATTGCGGAAGAGTTCTTTATCAATTTGGGAGCATGGGTACATGTATGAGCGGTGAGAGCTGGTATTCTCAAGGATGCCTATGTGTATATTCACTGTTAGAAGTCCGTTGGGCTTCGCTTTGGGTGATATCCTTTCTGGCATGAGAGAAGAGCTGGCTATCTGGCGCGAGATTTTCCAATACCTGTGTCTTCGTCGCTTCGCATGGGTTGCAGCGTGGCTACATGGTTGGCAATGTTTCAATGTGTGCTTGGTGTCGAGAAGTGCTTGTTTTGGACAGCAGCAAGGATGAGAGATGATACACACATCGAAAGGGGGTGTGAAAAGTTGTACCTGGCTCAAGGCTGTGAGTGCTCAAACCTGCAGTGCCGTCGTGGCCGCCCAGCCTCGAGTCCGTAGCTAGTGCTTTGGCTCCGTAACAGGCTCAAACCCAACCATTGCTTTTCCTGCCCCTGTGGGCTCGGCGCGTGGGAGGGGTAGTGGCAGTTCCGACCGTCGGTCGAGGGCAGTAGTTTAGCGCAATAGCACATCCTTGCCGTCCTTGCACTACTCCTGTTGTACACTTCACCAGGTTCTTGGTCGCTGGAAGCTTTGCTTGGACGAAGACAGTTGTCGAGGTGCCCTGACCTTGCCTTCGTGCTGCACCTTCGGCTCCTCGCCTTTGTGGCTGAGGCACTAGTCCGTTTTTCCTCCCTTCACCGAGGTGGACGGTGTCTTCAAAGGTGAGGTTTCTCTTGAGCTGGTTGAACTGGTCTTCTCCTGCCCCAGACGCAGGGCCCCTTTGTGGATCTGACCGTGGAGAGCGGCAGATTTGCCTTCGCAAGCTGTGCCGGGAGCACCAGTGTTCTTAGGGCAACCACTTTTTAGTCGTAAGCGTCCCTCGAGGTGCTACAGGCTTTCCTTCGGGTTCCCTCGGGACGAGACAGTGGTTCCTCCCAGTCTCCTGCAGTACCATACTGCAAGCCCCTTCCCTCCCTCGCCTACTGGGTTGAGGTGGCGTTGTGCTGCCTCCCGCCGTTGGGGTTTAGGATAGGTTAGGGAGGACTCTTTCTTGCTTGGCGCCTCCGTGCTGCCGGGCTCCCACTCAGCTTTTCTGGCCTGTGATGCAGTGTCGTCTCTCCCCTGGCGTAACTCTCGCAGCTTTTGCGACACTTCGCCTATACTGCTGGCCTGGAGCTGTTTTGGCTTTTGTTGCTTTAGGCAAAATTTGCTCGCTTTTGCCTGTTTTGCGGAGAAGGTCCCGCTGCAACTCAAGGGGTTCTTTTGTTATTCACTTCGTTTGGTGCCAGTCGTGCGTCGCGTGTTATGGCCTTCACATGAGCATGGGCGCCAGGGCCAGGACCCTCACTCAGCCTGCTTTTGCCCGGCGGGATTCGGGTGCGAGCTCTGTATACCCCGCCGCACAAGGTTTTATCCTTGCACGCCTGAGTTTGGTGTTGGCAGTCATACTGTTCTCCGTGGGCTGAGCAGTCCCTGGCTTTCCTCCCTGCAGCACCTTTGGCTTCCTGGCCCCGTTCTTTCTGTTACCTGCCTTGGGTTTTGGGTTGCAGGCCCTGTTCCTCCCTCCTGGGTTTCTCAGGGGCAGGTCTGTTTTCTGCCCGTCCTCTTCCATTGCGGCTGAGTGGCACAGCGTTGTTCCCTGCGCTTGAAAATTGAAGGGAAAGCGTCGTTCCCTGCGCCTCGTTGAGGGGAATGCGTGGGCCCCGCGCTTAAGTCCAAATTGAGGGGCTGCAGCTCTGTTGCTGTGGCTGCAGATGGGCAGTTGGCAGCTCGTCTCGGCTTGCGCTTGCAGATGAGCCTTCAGGTTTGGTTGTTTTCTTTAAGCCCTTTTGACCCTTCCGTTTCCTCCCTCGGGCCAAGGGAGTCGCGCACCTTCGGTCTCTTTTCGGCCAGCAATGCCCACTCAACCTGCCTGTGTACTTGGTGGACCGTGGTGTTGTGCAGCCCAATGGCAGTGTTGCTGAGGTAGCCCCTGTCCCTCGCCCCTGGGCCCAGCCCAGCCCTCCTCGCTTCTGGCTAAGGTTCACCTCGTACTTTCACTTCTCCCCGCCGTTCTCTTTCCTAAGGGCGTTTGGTTGCGCTTGGTGGGGTTTAGGATTCTCTTTACGAGCCCCTGGAGGTTCCTCTCCAGCCGCTCCCTCAGGGTCCCCTCTCTTGAGGTTGGCTTCGCCCAGGATAAGGGCAGCTGCTCTGGCTCCTCACCTCTGGGTTGAGGCTCCTCACCTTCCAGGTTGAGGTTCGTCACTTTCTGAGGCTTTCGAGCCGGGGCACAAAGTTTTCACCCCCTCTGAGGCTACAGAAGCCAGGACCCCGTTTTTACCCTGGGACCTGCCGAAGGCATCCCAAAGGTGGTACTGAAACCCTGTACAGAGGTAGGGCCTCCGCCCTTCGCCTTACTGGCCGAGGTTGCCGTAGCCCTTCACCCAATAGGGGTCGGCTGCTGACTGCAGTTTGGAGTGCAAGCCAATTTTCCTGCGATTCCTGGAATTTTCTGAGGTGCAATGGTTATCTGGATATATTCTGCATGGTTTTGGTTTTGCAGAGGTTTTCTCAAAGCACTGGAAGATTTTCACTGGGAGCTGCGGTTTTCATGGCATGGAACCTTGGTTTTCAGCTGCGAGAACAGTTTTCGACATGTGGCATGAGTTGCTTGAGCTTTTGAGTGAGATGAGTGAATGCTGTGAGCCGTTAGTCCGCATGAGTTCTCGAAGGCCTCAAGGTACCTTCTCGAACAGCTGTAGTGTATGCGAGTTTGTTTGCCAGCGTGGAGCTTGTAGAGAAGCTGTGACGGTATGCTTTTGAAGCGAAGTTTTGTTTTGACATGTGCTGAAGCACATGTGAATCCGGAGTGCCGCGCTTATGTGTGGCTCAAGGCTGGAAAGCTTTGAGACTGAAGCTCGTTGAAAGAATGGGCCGATGATGAAACACGTTCTGAGGCTCATTAAAGCAAAGCTTAAAGCAAAGCTTTAGGTGACAGCAGTGCAGTGCAAGAACAGCTGAACACTTCGTTTGTTGCGCGAGCAAAAGTCTGTGCAGACCTTGACGGGTTGTTCAGGGTTTGTAAGTTTTACAGGTTTAGGATAGATATGTTGAAATATGGCCATTTCTCAAGGAGCAGGGTGGCACTGCGGCGGCCTGTGTAGCATCTGTGGCGGCCATGTCTAAAAACTGGAACGGGCAATTACAGCTGCCTAGATGTGTCCGCCAGGTCCCAAGACTCGAGGAGTGTCCGCCGGATGTGTCCGCCGCACCCTTGCTTTAGCCGTGTTGGAGCATGTCACTGTCCACCCGTGTCCGCCGGTCTACACTCCAGAGCCTTGTCATAGGAACCGCCTGTCTGCCGGTGTCCGCCGTTCTCCTACGGTCAGCAATGCGATGTGTGGGAGCCGTCATGCTTCATTTGCTACTTTCTCGCAATCGCCGCTGTTGCTCCAGCAGCCTGTTTGTGAAAGACCGGCCTTTTGTTGTTTGGGTCCTTGTGCTCCCGCAAGCCATGGCACTGCAGTTTCCAGAGCCCAGCGAAAAGCAGCAAACCGTCTGCAAGTACTGCAGCCTCCAGTATCCCACTCTTGCATTAGTGAAATTGGCGTGTGCTACAAAACGAAATCTTTTTCATTTGATTGCTTCTGTCGGTTGAGTTAGACCAAGTCCAGCTAAAAACGATTGAATGTCTGTAACTGCAGATATATAAGTCCATCTCTAACTTCATTTTAACTTGCAAATAAATGTGTTTTAACTTGCTGCTAACTTCCTAAACCCGCGGCGTCACCAAAGAAGGGTTGGAACGCGAAGACCCGTGTGGCTTCTACTGCGTAGACAGTGTTAATTCAGCTCTGGCCATTCGGCTTTGCGGCGGCACGCATGTCCTGGATGTTTCACCCAATCCCCATAGTGCTCCCGTAAAGGTGGGCAACAAGGAACCTATCAAGCTGAGCAAGTGGAGTCTTGCCACTATGAAAGGCAGTCCAGGAGGCTCACGCGACTCAGAGCGAACAAGGTAGAGTTGGCACATTGCCCAATAGGGCGCCTGCAGCACATGTCCATGCAGTGTCCACGTCACCGCTGTACCGTGTCTCGCCGCCACCAGGCCCCTCGGCAGGCCCTCAACAGGCCCTTCAAACAGGCTCGGGCCCCTGCGCAGGCCCCTCCACAGGTCCAGGCCCCTGCGGCAGGCCCCTCCAGCCCCTGACCCCACGTTTTGTGCAGAGCAGGCCCCTGCTCAGGCTCAGCGGCCTTCTCAGCGGGTTTTGCAATGGCCGGCTCAGCAGGAGTGGGATCCACCGCATGGGCCGTCATGTTGAGCTTCTCTATGGGGGTGGTGCCCCTCTCTCCCCCCACTTCCCCACAGGAGGCTGGTTTTCCTGGTCTGGCGGGTAGACCGGCGGTCGGTTCTGGTCATCGGCCGAATCGTTCCAGGGATCTGTGTTCCAAAAAGAGGTGTACCAGCCAATGCTCTTAGAGTCGCAATCGTGGCAAAGTGACAAGCGGCCCACTTCTCCAACTTCTGCGGCGACGAGCTGCCGGCACAACTGGTCAGCTCGTGCCGGGTCCACATCCTCCTCAGACTTACAAGTATCGAACATGCAGAACCCTGGGCTGGCACAAGGAGTGTGTTGGAGGACGCCTGCACATTCCGTGCGCCCAAGCAAATCCTGCAGGTCGACCACTTTGAACAGTGCAGTCGGAGCCGCATTATGATCCGACAGGATGATTAAAAATGCTTACTGGGAGTAAAGCCCTCAAAATCCAAGTGCAAAACCTTGCGCCACCAAAACCGCTCTATTAAGTCCGGACTTCTGCCGGAGTGAAACACAGGCGTGACGTTCGTTGCGACGGCCTGTCCAAAGGCGGTTAATGATGTGCGGCAGAGTATGACGCGTGTGGTCGTATTTCTCAAGCGCATCAGTGTCCGTGAACAACCCAGGAAACGACACAATGTGGCGTGCAAAAGTCCAGCAGACTCAAGGGAAATGAGCGAGCTGCGCTTGCAA